CGAGCTGCTTGTAGCCAAGTCAGAACGTTAAACTACTGTAGAATACATGTGAGAATATGTGAAATCGTAAGAATCAATGGAATTACGTATTATTTTTAAGATTGCATACACACATCCAGCAAAGATAGGCTTTATGGTTCTTACCTTGTCTTTGTTGGGTAAAGTCTGTGTTCTGGTAAAAGTGTCTCCTCCATTAATACTTATCAGCTCACCATCTATTAGAGGATACGGTGCGGGGTATACAACCACGTCACTCTTCAGTGTGTCTGAGCTGAAACACACGTCGTACTGCTGAGTAGATTTAGAGTAAGACCAGCTCCCGTCCGGGTGGGTGGTGATCATTGGGGCGCTGTACCTGCTGAAGCTGCCGTCTGTCCTGTGGCATTTGACAGCTATTAAACTGACGAGGCTCAGCAGAAAGATCACCGACACCGACACAATGCCAATCAGCAGGTACAGGTTTAAGTCAGAGAAGCTGTCCTCCTTTACGGGAACATGTCTGAACGGAGTCTGGATGTTAGCTGTGCTTTCAACCACCACCACGTCAATGGACACAGTAGCTGACAGGGAGGGTTCACCGCTATCAGACACCAACACCACCAAGGGGTGAGTCTTCAGGTCATTGTCACTCATTCTCCTCTTAGTCCTGATCTCTCCGGTGCTGGTTCCGATCCGGAAGAGGTTGTTTCCTTTTGGGCTCAGAGAGGTGATAAGAAAGCAGCGCGTTGTATCCAGAGTCTGCGTCTACAGCCCTGATCTTTGCCACAAAGTATCCCGCTTCAGCAGAATAGGGGATGCTCTCACTGTTAACGGAGCCGTGCTCAGAATAGGGCAAGAGGATGGTGGGACTGTTGTCGTTCTCATCCAGGACTAAAACGTTCACAGTCACGTTGCTGCTGAGCGGAGGAACACCAGAGTCTGTGGCCTGAACTTTAAACTGAAACGTTTTAATGTTCTCATAGTTGAAAGACTGCAGACTGACTATATCTCCAGTCTCCGAGTTGATGTTTATGATTGAAGATATCTGGGTTTCCTTCGGTGAACTGTTAATTAAGTGGTACGTTGCCTTTGCATTTTCATTTAAATCTGAATCAAGTGTCGTGAGTATGTGAATAGTATTTCCAATTGGGCTATTCTCTTTCACATAAACATTAATTACAGGCCCCAGGAATCGAGGAGGATTATCATTAACGTCAGAAACCTTAACATTTATGACGCTTGTGCTTGACAATGAGGGAATCCCTTCGTCAGTAGCTATAATTGAAACATTAAACTGTGAAACACTCTCTCTGTCAAGAGGTCCGTCAACCAACAACGAATAATAGTTTTTATAATTTGATTTTAATTTAAATGGCAGAGACCCTATAATTTTACAGTATGTCAGACCATTCTTGCCGCCATCGTGATCAGTGATAGTCACCATAGCAACAACTGTCCCTATTTCAGCATCCTCTTTCACTGGACTCATTATTGATGAAACTGAGATTTCTGGAGCATTATCATTGACATCGATAACTTCAACTAAAATCTTGCTGTGTGCGCTGCGAGGAGGAGTGCCTTTATCCCGTGCTTGGACACGAATCTCATATGCTTGATTCTCCTCATAATCGATGTTTCCTTTGACTTTAATTTCTCCTGTACTCTCATTCAGGGAAAATACGTCATCAGGATTAAAACGCCTCTTTTCTGTGAAAGAGTACACAATTTGACCATTAACTCCGTCATCCAAATCAGTAGCAGAAAGTGCTAACAACGTTGTTCCAGCATTTTCATTTTCTGAAACTTGGACCTTATAAAGAGATTTACTGAAAACAGGTGAATTGTCGTTAACATCCAGTACATTAACTTGTATCTGTACGTTTCCCGTTTTGGGAGGTTTTCCGCCGTCTATTGCAGTCAGCGTGAGTTCAATAACAGCCTGTTTTTCTCGATCTAATGCTTTCTGCAGCACCAATTCAGCGGACAAACTCTGGTCACCACCGTTCTGTATATCCAAAGTAAAGTGTTCATTCGGGCTTAATTTGTAAGACTTCACTGAGTTAGCGCCTGCGTCTGCGTCATAGGCAATCGGCAGTGGATGCCTTTCTCCGACATACGAGGACTCGTATAGATCAATTGAATTTATTTCTTCCAGAAAAGATGGTGCATTGTCATTAACATCTTTAATAGAAACTTCAATTCGATGGAGGCTACGCGGGCTACTCGTCGCGGCTTCTATGTTTAAAGAGCATTTTACCGTATTAGGACAAAGCACCTCCCGATCTATCCTCTCCCTAACGAAAAGTACTCCAGATTCCTGATTTATGTCAAAATACTGATTGTTGTTTCCAGAAGTGATCTGAAGCCCCGTGGAAAAGAGCTGCTGCACATTGAGATTTAAATCCTTAGCGAGGTTTCCCACCGCTGTTCCTTTGTCCACACTCCTCGAAAATAGAATAGGAAATCTGAGCAACGGACCGGTCCGAGAGACAAAGCAGGGTGAAAAAAAAACACCCGAGAAAATACCATCGTTCCCAAACAGCCATCGCTGTTGAAGGTGAAGCAATAAATTCGGATTTCTTTCTTTCAGACTCTCCACTAAAATAAAAAACAGCTTTTTTTATCAATCCATTCTCGTTCAGGGTCCTCCCTCTGCAGGGCTTCAGTACGCTATTTTCACAAAGCACTGCCAGATGCTGACGTTTTATTACTGTCATACATGGAGGAGGAGTTTCTGAACGGTCAACACAATATTGTTGCGTGGTCTTTAGCGACATCTCGTGATGCTGTATTCAAAAAGACGGCCCAAAAAATCGAATTCCTCTCTTTTAAATCACTGAACAGGAACCGGCATTAATGAATGACAGAGTGAAATACATTGGGTGGATGTGGTAAGTCTTCATCTCGACGTTCATAGTTTGTGTTGTGCGGTTTGAAAAGTAGTTCAGTACGTTGCAGTTGTTGTTTAGATGTTTGGATGTAGTTTTCTTTCATTGCTTTAGCCTCACACTTACTAAACATTCAATATAGATTGAAGAATCTGCACCAAAGACAGCACGAAAAAAAAATTGATTGTCCCAGCACCATGGACAGCACCAAAGGGCAATTTTAATTCATCTTGTGCTGAAGTGAATAAAGTTTACATAATTCAGACTAAAAACATAGAAACTTAGTTATGGTCAAGTGTTTCTTAGATGAAACGATCCTCAACTAAAAAATAGTAAAAAATATATCAATGGGGTGTGGATAAACACTTTGCTTGGCACAATAAGAGTTTCTCTGTAGCATACGGACCAAAAAGCAGAAAACTCTTGTTTTGATTAATATCAACATGATCATATCTTACCTTGTCTTTGTTTGGTAAAGTCTGTGTTCTGGTAAAGGTATCTCCTCCATTAATACTGATCAGCTCACCATCTACTTGCGGATAAGGTGCGGGGTAAACCACTACGTCACTCTTCAGTGTGTCTGAGCTGAAACACACGTCGTACTGCTGAGTAGATTTAGAGTAAGACCAGCTCCCGTCCGGGTGGGTGGTGATCATTGGGGCGCTGTACCTGCTGAAGCTGCCGTCTGTCCTGTGGCATTTGACAGCTATTAAACTGACGAGGCTCAGCAGAAAGATCACCGACACCGACACAATGGCGATCAGCAGATACAGGTTTAAGTCAGAGAAGCTGTCCTCCTTTAGGGGAACGTGTCTGAACTGAGTCTGGATGTCAGCTGTGCTTTCAACCACCACCACGTCAATAGACACAGTAGCTGACAGGGAGGGTTCTCCGTTATCAGACACCAACACCACCAAGGGGTGAGTTTTCAGGTCATTGTCACTCATTCTCCTCTTAGTCCTGATCTCTCCGGTGCTGGTTCCGATCCGGAAGAGGTTGTTTCCTTTGGGCTCAGAGAGGTGATAAGAAAGCAGCGCGTTGTATCCAGAGTCTGCGTCTACAGCCCTGATCTTTGCCACAAAGTATCCCGCTTCAGCAGAATAGGGGATGCTCTCACTGTTAACGGAGCCGTGCTCAGAATATGGCAAGAGGATGGTGGGACTGTTGTCGTTCTCATCCAGGACTAAAACGTTCACAGTCACGTTGCTGCTGAGCGGAGGAACACCAGAGTCTGTGGCCTGAACTTTAAACTGAAACGTTTTTAACTCCTCGTGGTTAAAAGACTGCAGAGTTACTATATCTCCAGTCTCCGAGTTGATGTTTATCATTGACGAAATTAGAATATTTCTTGGCGAACTGTTTAACAGTTTGTAGGTCAGTTTTGAATTACTGTCTTCGTCAGGATCAATTGCATGTATC